TCTGCTGGAGATTTGCAGGAAATAGATGAGATTTGTGGGTCAGAAAGCCCCCCAAAAACAACAACAATATTTCTGCTGGAGGTTCTGGACATCTAGTTCAGATTGATAACGGATATCACGGATTCTATCAAATACCAACAATAAAAAAAGATCAAAACCTTACTGCCTCTGCTTAAAATCTTATAATGGGCCATGGGCTGATCCTTCACCTGGACAATGATCCACAACAAACTTAAAAATCGACACAAAAATGGGTCACTGAGCACAAAATTAAGGTTCTGTAATGGCCATTACTGTCCCCTGACCTAAAGCCAGTGTTGTGCCTGAACGCGTTCTTTGAATGATAGTTCATGAACTCATTCATATTTTAGGCGAACGTGAACTGAACGTACTGCATTACTGCCTGATGAACGTTACTGTGAATGCGTTCGTTATGGTGTCTGTGAACCCATGCTCTCTCAGTTTAACTTCGTTCAATAGGGTGCCAGATTTCTATTGAGCCTTCCGAAAAGGCTAAAACACAATTAATAAACATACATCCAAATAATAAGCATCCAATCTGGCAACACAAGCCACCAGTGTCGCACCGTGGCCACATGCGTCAAGACAAGAAGCAGCATCATACAAGGCGTTGCATTGTATGATCAGTTTTAAGACAAGGTTGGTGAGGAGGATGGGAAAAGCCTATAGCCTCTAGCCAACATGGACTTGGGAATTTGAATTGTATGGAGGTAATTATTATCTTGGGATTTCCTGCCATTTTTATTGTTACTTCAGTGAAAAGTTAGATTTTTGTGATTTTTTTATTTATTTTTTATTTTATTTTATTTATTTATTTTATAAAAGGTCAAAAGTATTAATGCATATTTATTTTCACAGTCATCTTAGTTCATATTTACCAAGGGTATAGACCAGAGGTCTCAAACTCGCGGCCCGCGGGCCATTTGCGGCCCGCGGGATGATATTTTGTGGCCCCCTACTTGATTTTAAAGTTTAATGTTAGTGCGGCCCGCCGTTGCGTTTGCCGCGTTATTTTTATTATTAATATTTTTATCCCTTATGGGCTACCATATATAGTCTCGTGACAGCTTATTGTGGGTTTGTTGTCAATAGTTGTCATAGACAACCACGAAGTACAAATATACTACGCCTGGAAAAAATGAGCGCGTCGCTTCAATTATGAGCGCGCTCGGCGCTTGATGCGCGCCTACGTTTGAAACGTACTTGAGCGTGCAAAATATGTGAGCGCGATATGTGAACAGGCGAGCTACCACCACCAAATCAGCCCACAGCTACTGATAGCTCGCGAGCGACGTGTTGGATATCCCTGCTCTAAAACAATGTGAGAATAATCATTTTGATCTTGTAATATGTGTTGTGTCTGAACACGCTCAATGAACGATAGTTAATGAACTCGTTCATATTTTGGGCGAACGTGAACTGAACGTAGCCTACTGTATTACTGCCTGATGAACGTTACAGTGAACTCGTTCATTCTAGTGTCTGTGAACCGAGGAGGCGTCGTAAGATCATTTAAAAGGCTTTTATGAGGTCGGTGAGGATGGGAAAATCTTATGTCTGTGCAAACTTTGCCTGTCGATAAAATGATTGTTATCTGTGGTTGTATATGGGTTGTGGCAATAATAATAGCCTAATAATAAAAAAGAAGCTCGCAGCAACAAATGGGGAAAAAAAGAACTAGTTCATTTTTGAAATATGAACTGAAATAGTTCATTTTAAAATTTGTGAATTGAACTTTGAACTAGTTCATGTAATGAACTTGGTCCAACAGGTTGATAAGAAGGTTTGCTTTGATATGTGCAAAGTCAGTAATTTGCCTGAGACACTATACATGTGTAGAAAGAATTATTTGTATTTCAAAAGCAGTAATTGGTTTTCTAAGTATAATAAAAGGAAATGTGCCTTTTGGAAGAAAAAAAAATCAACATAATAGTGTAAAGAAAATAAAAAGCAAATATGACTATCATCACAACAAAGATGTTGTGTATAAGAAAAAGACAAAGAAAGTTTGTAAAACTGTCAACTGTCAGAAGGACAGCTCATCAAGAACCAATCATGTACAGAAAGGAATGTTCAAATTCAGAGGAACAGTTCAGAAGAAACGTTAATAATAAAGATTGAGAAGATTGGATCAGTTGTGCTCCATTTTTGGAATACTTGACTGATGAAATACATTGTTTTTATTTTTTTGAATACTTGATGCGGCCCGGCCCGGCCTGATCCAGACTCTATCTCCAGCGGCCCCCAGTTAATTTGAGTTTGAGACCCTGGTATAGACTGTAGAAGACAATATGTCATACATTTGTGTACCTGTTCCTGGAATTGTGTGTTGATCATTCAAATGAAACATTGAAAATCCCTGTTCCCACAAATCCTACACTATACTTCTATATCAAATTAAATGTGATAGTGTTGGTCAAAACCTGAAAATAGAAATGACTCCATTGGTGTGTTAAGTCAGACTTAAGTCCTGACATCTCTAATCATCGTGTGTACACTTTGTTCCTGTCCAGATGCTCCTGGTGAGGAGGAATTGTGACAGTAGGATGTCTGTTCTTTAGTCTCATGGGTTTGGACTCCCTGATGGGCAACTGTGTTTTAGGGAACAGCTCAATATCCTCTGCCCAACTCCCTTCCCCTCCCCGGGGATATCAGAACTCCCTCTTCCCCTCAGATAGGAGCTGAAGCCGAACTAATCCCGAGTTGTCTGAGAAAGGCTGTTTACTCTGTGGGGATTAACAGAGATTAAGTGCTATCATAGCACAGTTTTAGGAGGGGTGCTGTAAACCATTTCTGATGGCCCTCTCCTGTTTGTGTTTGCGTGGTTAACTTGTCAAACACACACTCACATTCTTAAGACGCCGTGCCGATATACTGTATTAACGGCAAAGTTATTTTTTGTTCTTTATTTAGGTGTGAAAATAAATTTGATAAATAAAATAAAATATCCCGATCCCACCCGTGCTGCTGGAAGCGGCGTTTACATGAATATGTTAATATGTGCGGCTCACTTTTTCTCTCAATAAACAAATACAAAACAGCAGTTATTAAAACAATGGATCATATCAACATGGTTATGTTCACATGAACTCTGCAAATCGGCACCTCATTCAAGTCACGCCTCGTTTATTAATGTCACGTTATATGATAGATTGCTTTAAAGCAAGCAGCTTTAAAGGAGCTGTATGCAAGAAATTTATTTCAATTAATCATAAATTTGCCCTGATATGTCACTAGACATTAAGAAATGTTCATTTCAAATACTTATATCACTGACAACAGTAGTCAGGCCAGGATATTTTCATTTAAAAAGTGAAGTCGCAGCCCTTGACTGATGTTGATATTGTCAAGTTGTGTTTTGTTCTGATGCGCCACCCTCCACCGATCTACCAATCACGGACTCAGTAGTGTTGCGGCATTCGGGTTGCCAGCTCTTCTGTAGTTACCACAGCTGCAGATACAATTTGATTAAAAAAAATTTGAACTTTGCGAAACCCAAAAAAAACTCTATATGAATCTGAAATACTTTGTTACAAAGTCTGAAATAAACAATTAACAGAAAAAACTCACTGTGTCGGAGTGCTTCTGAATGTTCGACCGATTCTGGCCGAGCAGGTACATCTGTACCGTCTTACAGGCACCCAGTTTGCGCTTTAAATTAATTTTATTAATCTTTAAATGAATTGCTTACATTTATCAAATTAGCCTACAATAGCAGAAATAAGAATTTAAAATTAAAAAAAGGTCCTTGTTTAATACAAATTTCATACTTTATTTCATGAAAATTGAAAATATTTAGGAGATTGTTGTTTAATTTAGTTTTATACATATATTCTCGTATCCAATATTTTGTTCTAATGTCACAAGTAATAATCTCAAGGTTTACTGGATTTTACACGATTCTTTGGTTCTTTTATACCGTGGGTTTGGCAAAAAGTGTAATAAAAACAAACATCGTCACGTGTGTACCTTACTACTTCTCACCGCTGCTTCCTGATGGTTTAGAGAACACTGCGAGTCTTCCCCTGATGTTTCAAAAGCCCCTTTCACACAGCGCGTTGATCCCGGGAAATTGCCAGAACGCCTTCTGTGTGAACGCAAACACGACCCGGGATTGATACCGGGACTGATCTGGGGTTGGGGACCTAGTAACATTGCCGGGATCAGTCCCGGAACGCGCGCTGTGTGAACAAAAGCCAGGACCAATGCCGTAAAGGGTGTGTCATAGTGATGACGCTCGTGCCATCGCGCGATTCTGTTGCTCTTAGAAGAAAGTTTGTGTTCGTCATCAACAAAGAAAGGACGAACAAATACCTGCAAACTGGAGCGAAGCAGAGACAATGAGCTCCTCACTATCCGCGCTGAAGCTGAGATCGTTCACCAGCTTTGTGGAATGGTACGCGTGTACATGTTTTCGACGCGTCCGTTATACGTCTCATCCTGACGTCATGTGTCTTCCCGGGGTTTTGAATGAACCGAAATCAAACAATCCCGGGACAAATGCCGGGTCACATTATCCGTGTATTTTCTGGAATCTCTGTGTGAAAGGGGCTAAAGAGTAGTGCGACGGCAAGCGCGTCAAGAATAAACGTCTCGTTCATTTGGGGAGGAGCGTGCGCAGGTTAGCGGAGGCTCACGGTGCGGAGTATAAACAATGCTTTACTACACATACATTTACACACACACAGCAACCATTCAAAATGTGGTGGGATTGTTTCTGTACTGCTCAGTGTAATATTTCTTTTAGTGTATTAAAGTCTAGCTGCTGCTGTGTGTAATGGAGATGTGAGTGCTAGTAAATGTTTGGCGCTGTGCTAGAAATGAAATCGAAAAGCAGTACACGAATCCCATCAAATTTTAAATGTCATTTGGAATGAGAGCCAGCCCAAAACATGCCACCGGTGCGAACCGCGTGTTGACGGCCCCGCGTTAATTCAATCTTGAGCCTAACTGTAGATCCTGTGTGTGTGTTGTTTCAGAGAGGAACGTGAGCGCTGGATCAGGGCCAAATACGAGCAGAAGTTGTTTTTGGCATCGCTGCTGTGCACAGAGCTGTCTCTAGGACAGCAGCTACTGAGGGCCACGGCGGAGGAAGACCTGCGCTTAGTGGTCATACTGCTGGCCAACGGCTCCAGAGATGAGGTCAACGAAACCTGCGGGGAAGGGGACGGCCGGACAGCCCTGCACCTGGCCTGCCGCAAGGGAAATGTCGTGACCACGCAACTGCTCATATGGGTAAGAGCTAGAGCACACACTTTTTATCACAGCCAACTACTGTCCTAGTTTCACTCGGATATATATCACAATAGAAAAGAAAAGACTTGCAACTTCTGTTTCAAGTCGACTTTTAATACTATTGCTCTGCCTTTCTCTTATCATGAGAACTCAAATATAGTTTTTTAACTACATTCTTCAATCGGTCTCTTTGTTCAAGGTGTTAAAACAGGGACCTCTTTTTAAATAATGAAGTAATACGATAATTTTAATTTTAAATAACAATTACAAAGCATTTTTGTGACTGATATTCAGTGGAAGGTATTACACACAGCCAGGAACAGCATAGCATTTCTAGGTGTTCTCTTGCTAACTCTCTTCATCTGTCTCTCTGTAGTACGGCGTGGACATCATGGCACGGGATGCTCACGGCAATACGGCATTGGCGTACGCACGGCAAGCTAACAGTCAGGAGTGTATGGACATCCTCCTTCAGTACGGCTGTCCCGACGAGCGTTACCCGCTCATGGCCACTCCCAACCTGTCCCGCAGGAACAATAATCGCAATAACAGCTGCAGCAGCATGAACAGTGCAGTTATATGAGGAATAAAACACACACACATGAACATGCACTCTGGTCAGCACTCCTCCTCCTCCCTCTCTATACACACCTCCATATGTACAGCACCACCACTGCATCAGAATCATGAAACTACAGCAGACTCAAGGGAATGATGAGGATGATGATGAAGCATGAGAAGAGCTACTGTGTTTGCACTCACGGCCTCCCCTTGCCTCTTGTGAAACGATCCGCACCCTGACTCTACAATCCGTCTAGTTGGAAACGTTGTTCTGACAAGGTCTTGGCCAGTCCTGTCATCTATTTTTTTGGGAGAGTGACCCCGTCCAATGTCTCGCTGCATCATGGAACAAAAATTCAAACAACCCTGGATTCTGCTTTTCGGACTGCGGCAGTTGAAGCTACAAGTCCATGATGGGATAATAAGGTGTGTATGTATTTGGTAACTGATGGCCTGGTGACGCATCTTATCAGCCTCTTTTCTGTGGAGTCCAATAGGAAATGATGGGATACTTTTACTCCGAATCTTCAAAATGACCCGGAAGTCACTTCACTTGGTCACCATGGTCACCATGCGTGTCTGGACTTTCATCTCACCCCTTTGACACTGGTTTTTCTGTCTGTTCTCTCTCTCTCTCCCTCTTTCTTTACATCTGACTCTTTTTCAGTCAGTATGTCCATTATGTCTTCTTCTTTTATTTTAAAGGAATTCGAAAGGATGTAACACCCAAATATTGAGTCATACGTTTGAAGTTTGAAATCTGACATGGTCTTTTAAACCTTTTTTTGTTTTAACATTGTTGAGTAGCATTTGTCTTAGTGCTCATTACTGGACCAACGGAGGATTCTTAAAAAGGTGTTTAAAGATTTATGTTTCTCAGACTTAAAAAGGGAATTACATTTTTTACTTTCAACAGCTTTTATTTAGCCATTTTTTTTTATCTTTCGACACGTCAAACTAGCCTTATATGTTGCCCATTCCCCATGTTCATCAAAGTCCTCGTTTTAATTAAAGTAATATCACAGGTAGGTTGCTAGAATATGCTCATGGTGGCCGTTGCTCTCGTACAGTGGCGTGCCTCTCTCAGGTCATCTCTGTTGCTGTTCACCGCAGCGTCCGAAACCTCATGCATCTCACTGAAGAGAAGGGCTCTCTGGGTCTTCAATCCCAATCTGTACATACTTCTTCCTTCTCTTTCATTCTATTTTTTTTTCTCTAAGTAGTGTACTATATTGAAAGTATTTGAAGAAAACACCCCCTCTGACATAAGCCTTTATTATTATATTTTTACCAGCCCCTTTTCTTGTTTCAGTGCAGCTTTTGGTGTCAGAAAGTGTGCCTGTTTGAGTCGAGTTCCCTATTTCTCTGAATTGTTCTTCAGGGCTTATTTTTCCTCCTTGCCTTTATCTTCTTCCTTTATCGTGTGTCAAGGAGTATTAAAGCAATACGAAGCCAAAATCCCGGCAGGTCGACACACGAGTAATAATTTCTCGCCGAACGTCACCCCAGCGGTCCGAGCAGCCATTGTTATTGAGAGATGTAAAGCCGATGTAAGACTCTGTCTCAGGTCGTATATCATTACTGAAGATCCCATGCAGGGTTTGATATTGACTTACTCCATAATATGATTTAATGGGCTTTGATCATTTAATCTCAGCTTCCATTGATTTTGCTCTTCGCTGGGTAGTAGAAATGTGAAGGTACTTAGCTTGGGGTTGGAGATGTGGGAGACTCTGTGTTGTAGAATTGATGTTCCGCAATACAAACAATCTGGAAAGTCTTCGAGCTTGTTGATAGACATTTTGGGAATATGTAGAGAAACGTAGATAGTTTAGAAAACAGTGAGAGTTGAAAAGCTTTAGTGAAGGATGTGCGGATGTAAACTATGAGAGAAATATTGAGGTATGTTGATTTTCAGCTCAAAAAGGGTGCAGTTTTCGCCTTGTATATAACGTAGCAGGCCTTTAGAGGCTTTACCACAATAACCATTATTTATGACTAAATGCACTACAGAACACCGATCACTTGTTGTGAAGAACCCACAATATAATGTCCACTTTGAATCCTTTCTGTGAAAAAACTGTCGTTTTTGTTTTCTTTTTGCATGAACGGATGTAAATGTTTTCTTCGTTGTGTAAATGTCTTCATAAAATGACTGTTCCCTGACAAGTGACGCTAAAGAGTCTGCCATTTTAATATGAAAAAAAACCTTACGAACAACTTGTGTGTCATATCTTTCTTTTTTTTTTTGTCAGTCCTCCCATCTCCTTCTTTTGTAATCCATCACTTTGAGCAAAACATTTTTTTTTGATCATCTGTCTATCTGTAACTGAATATAGAAAGCATGAATGAGCAAAAGAGACAAAAATCCAACCAATACCATGACAGCAACCAAAGGATCATGCCAGCCCTTGTGAGAGATAACGCAGAGCGTTGTGGGCTTTATCAGTACGTTCCAAGTTGCTTGAACATATCGTCGTTTTTATTTCAGTTTCCATTCACCAGTCGTCGCTTTTTGTAAATAGATGTAAAAATGGAGAAACCCGTAGTGTTTGTTTACTTTGTTTTCGTTTGTGTTCGTTACCTCATTTCATCAACCGTCTCCGTGTTCCTTTCAAACCCAAGAGACCCGTGTAATTATTTATGAATATGTTAATCTGAAAGGGGAGGAGTCTCTCACACTACTTGGGTTTTGCATTTGTTCCTTTATTCAGTCCATTGGCATCGCAATTATCATTCTGAATCAAATTATCGGTGTTGTATTTCTAATTATTGTTGTTATTATATTGAGTTTGTGTCAGCTGTACAGTACTGTGTTGAAAAATTATACCTGATGCAGAGTCTTATACTGTAATGTCTCTTTTCAATAAAATGCTTCTTAATATAATTCTCTCCTCGATTTTGTAACATTTTAATTTATTTAATTGTGTGTGTGTGTGTGCGTATATACACTCGCCTAAAGGATTTTTTAGGAACACCATACTAATACTGTGTTTGACCCCCTTAATTCTACGTGGCATTGATTCAACAAAGTACTGAAAGCATTCTTTAGTAATGCTGGCCCATATTGATAGGATAGCATCTTGCAGTTGATGGAGATTTGTTGGATGCACATCCAGGGCACGAAGCTCCCATTCCACCACATCCCAAAGATGCTCTATTGGGTTGAGATTTGGTGACTGTGGGGGCCATTTTAGTACAGCAAACTTATTGTCATGTTCAAGAAACCAAATTGAAAAGATTCGAGCTTTGTGACATGGTGCATTATCCTGCTAGAAGTAGCCGTCAGTACATGGTGGCCATAAAGGGATGGACATGGTCAGAAACAATGCTCAGGTAGGCCGTGGAATTTAAACAATGCCCAATTGGCACTAGGGGGCCTAAAGTGTGCGAAGAAAACATCCCCCACACCATTACACCACCACCACCAGCCTGCACAGCGGTAACAAGGCATGATGGATCCATGTTCTCATTCTGTTTACGCCAAATTCTGACTCTACCATCTGAATGGCTCAACAGAAATTGAGACTCATCAAACCAGGGAACATTTTTCCAGTCTTCAACTGTCTAATTTTGGTTTGGAAATTGTAGCCTCTTTTTCCCATTTGTAGTGGAGATGAGTGGTACATAGTGGGGTCTTCTGCTGTTGTAGTTCATCCGCGACAAGGTTGTGCGTGTTGTGGCTTCATAAATGCTTTGCTGCATACCTCGGTTGTAACGAGTGGTTATTTCAAAGTTGCTCTTCTGTCAGCTTGAATCAGTCGGCCCATTCTCCTCTGACCTCTAGCTTCAACAAGGCATTTTCGCCCGCAGGACTACCACATACTGGATATTTTTCCCTTCTCACACCATTGTTTGTAAACACTAGAAATGGTTGTGTGCGAAAATCCAAGTAACTGAGCAGATTGTGAAATACTCAGACCGGCCCGTCCGGCACCAACAACCATGCCACGCTCAAAATTGCTTAAATCACCTTTCTTTCCCATTCTGACATTCAGTTTGGAGTTCAGGAGATTGTCTTGACCAGGACCACACTCCTAAATGCATTGAAGGAACTGCCATGTGATTAGATAATTGCATTATGAGAAATTGAACAGGTGTTCCTAATAAACCTTTAGGTGTGTGTGTGTGTGTAATATATATATATATATATATATATATATATATATATATAATGTATGTGTGTGTGTTTGTGTGTGCGTGTATATGTGTGTGTTTGTTTTTATTTAAATTGGTAAATGCTCAAGACTCTATGATTGGATCATTATTGCAGTGATTATTATGTTTCTACAGTAATTCTAATAATTGTAATAATTCCCTAATTGATGGTCTGTGTAGTTTTTAATTTCTCAAACAGCCATATAGGAAGACGCATATTGGTCATATTTCAGGATGACAATGTCAACTTTAATCAGGGTAAAATTGTGAAAGAATGGTTGGTAGAAGAATCATTTTCACCTTTGAATTGGCAACCACTGTTTTTTTTTTGTTTGTTTTTTTGTGCAAACTATGCTTCCAACAGCGTCTAATGGAACAAATAGTGCTTTTGTTATCTTTTTGTGTCCTGTATCATATTTGTGAAGGGTGAGATCTTCTCTTAACTTTTTGGACCATTCTTTTGATTTTGCCATATTTCAAACATGCAGTCAAACGCGACACTCAACAAACCTAGCCAGTTCACATATTTCATGTGTTCTAGCTCAAACACACCTGGTGAAACTAATGAAGCCCTTGATCAGTTCCATCAGATGTGCTTGAGACAACACCTTTTTTGCCGATTTGTGAAATTGTGAGGGATTCTATTCAGGGGGTTGAATCATTTTGAGACTGGAGAAGTCATTAAAAGTTGCATTTTCAGTTCAATTTGGAGAAACCACACTTAAAACATTTGTTGTGTTGAGCTATTTCAATTACTTTTGTTTGATTTGTTCATTGCAAAGAGCTGAAAGTGTGTAAATTTGACTGTATAATTTATAATACTGATTCAATGTGTGTGTGTGTATATATATATATATATGAAGAGTTCAGATGCAAAAGCCTCTAAATGCCATTTGAAATTTTCTTCTTTAATGATCATTTTTATCAAACTTGTATATTTAAGTTCACTGATTTCACTTAAATGGCAATGATAATTACCTATTAATTGTTATTTAAGTGAAATTACTGAACTTAAATATACAAGTTTGATAAAAATGATCATTAAAGAAGAAAATTTCAAATGGCATTTAGAGGCTTTTGCATCTGAACTCTTCATATATATATTGATACAAATCAACTGTTTCAGGAAGTGTAAGCAAATGGAAACACACGTGTATGTTTTGCGATTCTCGCATGTCCGAACGCCTAGTTTGGGTTTCTCAGCGGGTGCGATCCACTCTCGGGCCTCCGCGGTGCAGATGAAGGCGTTAGAGCCGGGCCCTGCCGACTCACTGTGTCTCTAATGAGATAAAGATCCTCTAATCCCCTTCTCATCCTTTCCCTCGCAGGAAGAGAGCCGCAGCTCCACAAAGCATCCGAGGAGGGGATGCGGGGCTTGAATCTGCCCCCTGACCGGGAGGACAAAAGAGGCCTCAGCAGCCCAGGAAAACAGATGTAATTAAAGAGATTAGACAAGGCAGAGAGAGAGAAAAGAGCAATCTATTGAAAGAGGAAATGTTTCGGGGTTGAGAGGGGAAGTAGGAGCGTGATATTATGAGTGACTGACAGGAAGTGTGTTTGTTTTCTTATAATTCCTTTCACAAACATGTGCAGCTTGTAAGCTGTTGAAAGTTGACAGGCTAAAGGAGCCGTGGGAAATGGATCCTTAAAGTGTCAGTGGTGGTCCAGGACCACAAAACCCTGAAGCATCTTGTCCAGATCTAGTCTGATCATCTCTCATCATAAATCAGTTCCACTTAGAAATCCAATGAGGCACAGCACTGGTTCAGTGCATTAACAGAGCTGTTCATCTATCATGATATGTGTGTGTGTCCCTCTCACGCACACAATAATGGCATTAGAAATGCTAGAGAAGCCCTGAAATGAGGCGTGAGCTGCACCATCATGTTGTGATGATAATCCAAATGTTCAGAGAGAAAGAGCCGGAAAGTCGCACTCTCTAATCCTGCCGTACGGAGACGGGCGTGTTGTAATGCGTTCTGTTTGAACTGCTGTGACTCGGTGTGTTTTATCTTTGATGGAATCCTGTATTTCTCTGCTTCAAATGATAGTTAATAAATCTATTACTCATGCTTAAATTGACGTGAATTAATGTCGAGTGCAAAGAGTGCTGTGCTTAATCATCAGCTCCGAGGTGGGGTGAAACACTAATAGAAAACATGGACGTTTTAAAACGCATGCATAAATTCAAACTGTCATAACCATCATCAGCCCATCTTCATTTTACTGTAAACACTTTCCTTCTAAATGGCCAATTATAGGAAATTCAATTGTGTGTGTGTGTGTGTAAGGATCCTGGTAAACCCTATGTTATGGGGACAAAATGTTCCCACAAAGATGGCAATATCTGAAATCCTTGTCCTTGTGCAGACATTTTGGTCCACATGAGGAAAACAGCTTATTTATCATAAACAAATTGGGAATTTTGGAAAATTTAAAAATGGTGAATGTTTTTTGTGATGGGTAGGGTTTAGGGTTAGGGGAGAAAATATACAGTTTGTACAGTCTAAAAATCATTATGTCTATGGAATGTCCCTTTAAGTGTGTCCTTAACCTAATTTGAGAGGACCAAATGTCCCCACAAAGATAGTAAAATGTGAAAATTTTGATTTGGTAGGCCCCATAAATCATACCAAGTTTTTTTTTTTATGTAAAAATGCTGAAAGTTTTCTGTGATGGAAGGTTTAGTGTAAGGGGATAGAACTTGTGTGTGTGTGTGTGTGTGTGTGTGTGTGTGTGTGTGTGTGTGTGTGTGTGTGTGTGTGTGTGCGTGCGTGCGTGCGTGCGTGCGTGCGTGCGTGCGTGCGTGCGTGCGTGCGTGCGTGCGTGCGTGCGTGCGTGCGTGCGTGCGTGCGTGCGTGCGTGCGTGCGTGCGTGCGTGCGTGCGTGTGTGTGTGTGTGTGTGTGTGTGTGTGTGTGTGTGTGTGTGTGTTAGCCTTTCACAATTGTCAAATGTATCTGTCCTGTTTTGTGGAAAATGCTAATGCATCCTATTTTTTCCCACCCAAGCCATGAAAGTTTATATATATATATATATATATATATATATATAATTGTTTTATGGCAAGTTGAACAAGAATTAGATGACACCTGCTCTGTCATTTAACGTGAATTAATATCAACTCCAATTATAAACCCAGACATGAAATTGTACTTGCCTCAAAATTCAGTTTTTTTATTTTACACAGAATCTGTAAATGTTATACATATGTGTGTATGATTTGTTAGTGATTTCCTCCCTGTAGCTCTTTTCAAATTGGTTAAACTGGTGGTATTAAATAACTCATTTACACAAACTGACTGCTTAATGCTCATTGAAAAAACATGCTTACTTATTAATATGATTGTCCTATAAAATCCTAATATTGGAATTTTCCTTTGTCCGCCAAATTAGATAGAGGGCCTATTAGAAAAAATCTAAACTAAAAGGCAAAGTCGGAAACTATGAACTATGTTGTGATAGGCATCACATAAAGCACTAACATATTTTGTGCTTAATACTGGTAAAAGATTGAATAATATTTAATAAATTAGATATTTTCTTGCATGCAGATCTAAATTTTAATCTCTCATTATGATCACAATTATGTTGGTCATGATTTAAAAGGGTTTTCTTTAATAAAAAAAAAACTGTTAAAAATGATTTTGAGTACTGTTTCGTGTTACGAAATCACAGAAGTAAAAAGAAAAAGTCTTTGTCATTCCCTCATTAGTGTTCTCTTTGTTGTTGAACACAGAAACTTCCAGCATATGTGTGTGTTCCAGTGCTCTCACTGGTTCTGCAGCCAGTGCTCTCCGTCAGGATTAATCATTGGAGGTTCATTTGACGCTGTTAATTTAGTGCAGGAGGGACAAGCTGGAGTGAAAAGCTGCGGCCCGAGCCAATCCCCGCGGGCCCATTTATCTGTCAGACACTACGGACAGCCTTGATTACAATTTGCACAAAAATTCATTAGAGTTTAGGTAATTGTCAGATCTCTCTCTCTCTCTCGTCATGCTTCCTTATGAAATGTCTGTCCAGTTTTCATGTCAATGTATGTGAAAGCTTTGTCTGTTTTCCAACATCATTCAGACCAGCACATTTCAGTTGTCTACACGTGTGTGTGTGTGTGTGTGTTTGTGCCAGTGATGATGAGGCACTGATGATGTCTGATCTATTGCGATGCTCAGGACTTGCACTTGCATACAACAATAAATCTACTACCAACAATAATTCAATTTCTCTAGGAGGAAAAATTTGAATTCCAGTTTAATTATGAAACTAGAGTCTATTAACCACTGCAGTCATAAGAACTTTTTGTTTCACATTATATTTTTCATGTAACTCTCTATATATATATATATATATATATAGAAAGGTACATGCTGATTACAAAAAAACTACTTAATGTGTTATGATTTTGCACAGCAGACTGTAATTAATCTGATTTTGTTATCATAAAGTAATCAATTATAATTATATATTGCTTGTAACATGGATACAAGAATGTTAATAGAATCTTTTATTTTCTTATTTACCAAGTATTTACTAATTTCTTATTGATTTGATTTAATTTAATTTAATTAATAATAGGGTAAATAAATGTTTTCTAAATTAATAAAAAGGCTGTCTATGATAGGCTACACTCTAAAAAATGCTGGGTTGTTTTAACCCAACTTTGGGTCAAATATGGACTAACCCAGCCGTTGGGTTAAATTTTTACATTACATTTTTTAACCCAACATTTCGGGTTTGTCCATATTTGACCCAAAATTGGGTTAAAACAACCCAGCATTTTTTAGAGTGTACATACTACAAATTATTATTATAGGCCTATTAATTATATCTCAATAAATTATGCTCTTAAATGGCTGTAATGAATCTGTAAAGTTTGGAGAAAATAACATGACTGTAGAATTTAGGTTTGCTGTGAAAAAAAACAACAAAAAAAAAACTCGTTATTAATTTGTCGCATTTGTAAACTAATATAAACCTGTAGCGTTGGCAGTAGCCTACGTTGGTTGGGAATAATATTTCGACAAGCTTACATGCAGACACAGGTACAAAATTTGCTAATATTTTATGATCATATTGATAAATAATGTATTAAAATTGGTACTTTTAAAAAAAAAGGTTTGAATTGACTTATGAGCAATTTGTCGAAATGAGTAGAAAAACTATGGACATAAAATATAGAAATTTCAAGAGCTTCGAGGTTAAATTATTGTTCTATGATAAATTGTATATTTAGCAGAGGCTGTTTGTGAAATTATTTTTGATTTATATTTGCGTCTCAATCTTTCCCGACGTGCCCCGTGTGTGACGAATAGGCTCGTTACTTTTCGTCGAGGTTGCCTATAAAATAAGGCAGGTCAACGTCGGCCGGAGATCAGGGCTGTCACAAGGTTGTATCCCTCATCATGACCCTGAAATCTATTCATGAACCACACCCTCCTGTCACAACACCCGACTCAAACCTGAAGAGGTTCGATGATTTCAGAGCATCTGTACTAACAGAGCAGAGACCGCGCGGAACAGATGGCGCAAGCGGAAGCAGTTCTGCAGGTGCAATAAAATACCATTATTAGCAGTAATTATTATTAATTTATGTTTAAACTATTGCTACAAATTATAAAGAAAAATATATATATACAGACAAAATTAGCAAAAATAATGCAAAGAAACAAGTTTAGCCCACTCAATGTATTTGAATTGATGATGTAGTTTAGGTTATTTCCCCCTCACGCGCACTTCAGTGAGTGACTTAGCCTACGTGTTGCATGTAAAAAATAAGAAAGGACAATTTTTTTTTTTGTTTAAAACAATTATTTATGGTCCAGCTTTAATCCACACAATATTCTGAAGTCAGTAAACTCATGAAACGTTAGCAAGTTTTTTTTTCTTCTCACAATATTAAATAAATTAGCAACGTGCCCGTGACGTCTGAAACGGTTACAGAAAAAGGGAAATGAATGCAAGAAAAACAAAATTAAATAAAGGCTATTTACCATAAAAAATAAAAAGCACATATTTAAACAGGTTGTTTTATAAATTCGAGGGAATGGTGTTAATTTTACTATTAATTGAATTATATTGTGTTCTTCAGCAGAGACCAGAAGTGCTCCTTTTAGGATAATATTCATCTCTGCAAAAAACACGTGAACTATACAGTCACACAAAACTAAACAAAAAACTGATTAAGTTTTTAAATACATAGTGGAAATTCAAGAACTAAAATTTGTTCGTGATTTGGTCCAAAGTTGGAAATAAAACAGCAGTTTCTCTCTCCCAGTATATAGGTGGTCTTAGTTTGAACCTTTTCGTTCAAAATGAGTCTGTTCCTTTCTTTCCACCCGTTTGCACAACTCTGTAGTTTAAACGAAAACTATATATATATATATATATATAGGCTGCGTGTCCTGGGTTCCTCGGGAACAGTTTGGTTATATTTAGATTTCTCCGAATTGTCTTGTGTATCAAGGTCTGGCCTGTTCTAACTGTTGGTGTTGGCTGCGTATTGCAAACCGACTAACATGCACCGGAATGGGCACCACAATTTTCGGGTTTCTGGATGGCTCTCCGGTTTTGGAGTTCACGTTTCCCGCTTTGACACGTTTCCACTTGGCTCTCCGGTTCTGAAACCAGATCTTGACTTGCACCTCGCTGAGCTTTAAGGCATGGGCGATCTGTGAGCGTTCTGTGAGGGATAGGTATTTCTTACAGTGAAACTCCTTTTCCAGTTCTAAGAGCTGCTCGCTCGTAAAAGCCGTCCTCCTTCTCCGATTTTTCCCGGTGGACGTGGTGTTTCCCGCCCCATTCCCACCGTGGACGCCGTCGTCCAGTCCTCCGTTGCCGTCTCCGTCTTCCTTCGGACACATCGCGTTCCCGGGCCCGTTGTCGTCGGAGCTGTAATCTAAATCACTGTCCATGGAGAAGCTCTCGTCTTTCCTGTGACACTCGTCCTCCTTCGCGTCGTCTTTGCTGTGACCTCGCACTAGGGGAATGAAATAAAAAGCAGAATTATTTTGAGTAACTGTTCAGAAGAAAACTTCTCAATGTAAGTTTCTGTTGAGGTCATTTGTGTTTTTAGTTTTAACTGGTCGGGGAAACAAGTTGTGTGTTTTCATCATAAGAATCTGACCTAGTCTTGTCTCGCAGCACATTCTTCCTGTTTATTGCTGCCACTTTTACGCGCAATTACGCACGGTGATGGATCTCTTAGGAAAGTAGTTGCACACCTCAAAACAAACCAGCCTAAAAGTCCCCCCTCCCCCCCTTCTACATCTCTTGAGATCATTTGGCTTTTTAAAAACATGCATTATTTTACATAGACCTTTTTTAATAATATAATTTCAGACTTTGTCCCTTCAGCTAATGTCCTTTTTTTCTTTACGTTGCAGACATTGGCTATATTACAATTATGTGGGACTACATTTATTTTTCTCTGCCTGCATATAAATGATCCAGGCGACAGTGAATTTTGCTTACAGTTTTATGGACATTTAAACACCGCTGGCCCTCCGATCCCTCAATTAAAATGAACTAATTTAGTCCTTGATGGCAGCTCGGCCTCAGGCACTATTCCCTGGAAAACTTGATTTGGGCCTTTAATTCACGTGTGTGTCACCGAAATCCCACAATCATGACATTTTATATAATTATTCCCGTCCCACATTTCTCGATAAACTGCATTTTAAGTGACAAAATTAATTTTTAGCGTAAAGGCCTAAAGCAGACAGCTTCTTAGAAAGCAGTACAAAAATAAAACGTATGACATCGGAGTGATAAATGTTTTAACATTTTAAAATTTGAGAACTCAAGAATCAGTAACAACTAGGCTATGGGTCTGTTTTACTTTTATTTAACATGCATGGCATGAAATATTATAGGCTAACCGATTATTTAAAAAAAAAAAAAAAGACTTCTCAAAACAAGGGCCCTATTCACAACAATTAACCCTCTCTGAAAGTGTGAGGGTGTTCTGAAGGCTGGCTTTATCTCACCTGTAGAGGTGTGCGAGTCGTGAAATGATGGAAGGGTCGTTGAATCTTTCGTTGGGAACGTTTTCCCATCCTCTCCGTCCAAACGAATATCCTGAGATTTCTCAAACATGGCGTGAATGGATTGAGAGCTCAGCTTCCTCGCCGCGTCCTGGTGCTGCTGAGACGGCGAGCTGGAGAAGCCGCCGGGTAACGTGGCCATTAGCGTGGATGTGAGCGCCATGCCCTGCGCCAGACTGGAGCAGAACCCGCTGGGTAAGCCCGGGATCGGGTGGTGCGGATGGGATGCGGGGAGCGCGCTCTGAGGAAGAGTTGGAGGAGGTGGCGGTGGCGGAGGAGGTAGCACCACTGACCGGTAGGGCATAAACATGGGATAGCCCGTGTACACGAAATGCCCCGGACTGGGCTGCGGTGGACCTCCGATGAGCGAGTCAATGCTGAATGCAGTGGTGCTTCCCACCGGACGCTGCATCATCATGAACGGTGTACTGTAAGCTGCACTCATATGCTCGTATATGGCTAGTTTATAAAGTCCTGAAGTCTGTGGGAGCAGCTGTCTCCCCTGTGCTTCTCAGATGAGGATCTCACTGCTGGACAGTGTCATGCACTGACACTCTCTGAGGTTTTGGTAATCCTGCGAATGTCTCTCTGTATGCGCGGTTCGTAAAACCGTTGCATCTGTTTCGACTTAGTTCAGTGCCAAACTGATTTTTTTCGTTATAAGAACAGAGCGAGACGGGCGCATTAAAGCACAAACAAACGACGCAAATCCTTTGCTGAGAAATGTCTGGACGAGAAGAAGGTCGAGCATCTCAGATGAGCTTTATCGTCCTCCCTTGAGTTATTTCAGCGTCCTTGTCCCTTCTGCTTGGCCGCTTTTCATTCCGACCTGATGGAAGTCACAATAAATTGCTCCTCGCACTCGCAGCATCAGCTGTGATCATCCACTGAAGTGTGAGTTTGAATTACGCTCCTTCGGTTTAAGCGTCTCCACCATGCGCTCTGGCCACGCCCACCGCGACTTTGCGCTTGCTATTGGTCCAGTTTCATCCGTTTATGTGGAACTGTCCTGACGCGCCTGAGCCGCGAGCGCTGGCTGCTGTCTCTTAAATTAGAACGTCACTAACACAGTCTCACATTCCAAAACAGTCAAAACAAGAATCATGTGATGTGAGATGTGATCTGATGTGTTGTTTGGCATCTAATGGTCCTGCTGATTTTATTATTATTATTATTTTGTATTCCAGTTAATGAAAACCATCCTTTTGCGCAGTTAGCGACGGCCCTGCAGATGACACTGACATTGGCTTGTTCATTATGACACGAGACTCTGCCCTTTATAGCGGTCATCAAAATATCTCATTTCAGACACATTATGATCTGTGAATCAGCACTTAATAACCCTCACCGTTCTTCACATCTGTAAACAAATAAATAGCCTACACAAAGAAGGATAAAAATGAAAACCTATCAATCTCTGACGTTTCTTCAGATAAAGCTTATGTTAAATCTTTTTACACAATTCCAAATCCCTGAATAATAATAAAAAAAAAAAAAACAATAATGGAATTGTCAATGTTTAATGGGGGAGGGGGATTAAATAATGAATTATTCAGTGGAATCACTGATCAATAAATGTGTCTCCATATTTGTAAAATCTTCGTCCATGAGCATCATTTGGTTCACATAATTAAAAGGAATGCGGCCGTTTTCTCCGTTCACGCTGGTGATTAGTCCTAATCTTTGGGGAAATTTGTGTGCACCCTAAAAACCTTGACCCGAGCCCCCACCTATGCCAAATCAAGGGCAATCCCCTCACCCCCTCCCCAGGGTCACAAGGACACGGTCTCATTAAAGACAGGCCGATCCGCAACTGCAATGCAGACATTAAATAGCAGTATTTTTCAATTAACGCTGACAAATTCAATCAAAATTCCATAGATTAGGATGAAATGAGGCATGGGTCATTTACAAGGGGATTTAATTGCACCACCATTAGACAAATAGTACAGCAGTCACCGTTCCATTATCAATCATGTGAAGGCATCAATAGTAGTACAGGGAGAGGATGGGGGATGGGGGGTGCTTTAATACGCCGCACCGCAGAGCAGCTAATAAATACCCTCTTTTGTACTTATAAATTATCCAGTTTAATTAACAACATGGATTATGATTGGAATATGATTTAATTAAACCTTTCCTGCATGGTGGAGTGCAGAATCATCCATTATGTAGAAGAGAAGGGGAGCGTTACCGTGGGCTAAATTAAGAAAGGCCCAGAAACACTGACAGACCCCGAAGACCTTTCTGAACGGGACAATAACTGCAGATAACATGCAGAGGAGTTCTGTGTTTTAAACGGGAGACTGCGACGGCCCGATACATGCTTTTAATTGTGTAGCCTTAGCGTAGACGGAGAAAATGCCCCGCATCTAAGAAAGGTTTACTCAGTGGGCAAACCAATTAAAGACCTCTTATTGCTACTCGCTGCAGTTTTGCAGGGGAAATGGATTTTGAAAAGTTGCCTGCAGCATTTGACCATTCAACATTATTTAGTTACTGTGTCTCAGGCTCAACCTTTTCATCAAGATCCAAATGTCAGCTATAATTTATTCGGCACAGTTCGCTTCTCCCAATGAAAACATGAGTCGCTGTTTCCCTCTCTCTGATCCAGTCGCATTAGGAAAGGGCATAGGCTCACTTTCATATATATGTTTAATTTGCTCTCAAATTGTTTTGGTCATAGACAAACGGCTATTAAAAGCCTGACCTTCGATTTCAAATTATGAGATCTATTTGAAATCAATTGATTAACCTTTAAATGATCCCCTGATGATAGCAGATCAGAGCCATTCAAGGTCTGGTCATGCGTGACTGTGGGGAGAGCTGGTTCTCCCTGAGGCTCGGGACTAAGCGCAAAGATTGATCTATCTCAGTCAACCAGTGCTCAGGGCTCCACACGATACCAGTCAATAACCACTGCTCTGTATCCTTACACTCACCGCAAAAGGTCTAGACTTGTATTATATATACTGTGTAATACTGATAGGTTACAACATGAACTTGAGAAAGTACATGATCATCACTTTTTTATGTTTGTTAATAAGAAATAGCACAATATTTAAATGCATAATTAATTCATAACCACTTCAGCAACTAGTCCAACAGTTTCTGTAATCATTTGTGGTCAATCAAGTATTTTATAAGTTTATAAGAACTCTGCATTTTGTTTTCAGCACAGTGCATCAGAGCTGCATTGTTGCTATTTCCCTAATGACTCTCCATCATGCAACATGAGCACACTGCACATCCTCCACAACAAATCTATTCCTTCCCAATTATAGAAAACAATCAGTTGCACTAGAGGTATTTTGCATTTGCCTCGTTTGCCTCAAACTGCCTAAAACCTAACAGCAGTTTTGATGATTTATTTTTGGCAGCAGTGAATCATTTAGTCCCTTAACTGAGCCTTTACACCAAATTCTATCCTTACAACTGTTTAAAGGTTACTGAAAAATGGATCTCACTAAAACAAAATTTGAAATCGTTGTAAACACTATTCTTAAAATATCTTATTAGCTATATATACAACTATGAAGATCAAATGACCAGCAATGAATCTTGTCATTGTGCAAAATGCCATTGAGGATCGGGAAACTCTTGCAGTGCATTGAGACAAACAGCTGTTTAGCCTTGTGAAAAAGAAGTACTTTTAAAAACAGTAATTATTATAGAAAAAAAAATACTATAAAATAATCCTTAAGTGTGAACTGGATGTAATTATTTCAGACATTTAATTGCTTATTACATTAAATATTGAAATATGAAAATGTATTATTGTATATTTTTTTTAATGCAATGATTTGAACTATATATATATATATATATCTTAAAGGGTTAGTTCACCCAAAAATGAAAATTAAGTCATTATAATTACTGACCCCATGCTGTACCAACCCCGTAAGACCTTCGTTCATCTTCGGAACACAAATGAAGATATTTTTGATTAAATTTGAAAGGTGGATCACTGCTACATAGGCTTTTAAAGGGATTAAAGGGATTTAAACTTGACGGCCCAGAAAGTCATTGAAGAAAATGTTTAAATATTCCATGTACTTGTCCAATACTCAACTATAAGTTTATCAAGCGACGACAATACTTTTTGTGTGGAAATAAAACAAAAATAACGACTTTATGCAACTATTCCTTTTCTTCCTTTGGCCTGAGACAAGAGTTCAAGAGATTTCCACGAGGCATGTAAACCTCATTGGTTCTCCCGGAAACTTATGTGTAACACGAGATTTAACCTCATTGGTTCTTGCGGAAGCTCAAACGTGCTGTGTAACACGAGATTGAACCTCATTGGCTCTTGCGGAAGCTCAAACGTGCTGCGTAACACATGAGATTGAACCTCATTGGTTCTTGTGGAAGCTCAAACGTGCTGTGTAACACGAGATTGAACCTCATTGGCTCTTGCGGAAGCTCAAACGTGCTGCGTAACACATGAGATTGAACCTCATTGGTTCTTGTGGAAGCTCAAATGTGCTGTGTAACATGAGAATGAACCTCATTGGTTCTTGTGGAAGCACAAACGTGCTGCGTAACACATGAGATTGAACCTCATTGGTTCTTGCGGAAGCTCAAACGTGCTGCGTAACACATGAGATTGAACCTCATTGGTTCTTGTGGAAGATCAAACGTGCTGTGTAACACATGAGAACAAACCTCATTGGTTCTTGCAGAAACTTAAACGTGCTGTGTAACACAAGATTGAACCTCATTGGTTCTTGTGGAAGCTCAAATGTGCTGTGTAACATGAGAATGAACCTCATTGGTTCTTGTGGAAGCTCAAACGTGCTGCGTAACACATGAGATTGAACCTCATTGGTTCTTGCGGAAGCTCAAACGTGCTGTGTAACACGTGAGAACAAACCTCATTGGTTCTTGCAGAAACTTAAACGTGCTGTGTAACATGAGATTTAACCTCATTGGTTCTTGTGGAAACTCAAACGTGCTGTGTAACTCATGAGAACAAACCTCATTGGTTCTCGCGGAAACTTAATCGTGCTGTGTAACACGAGATTGAATCATTGGCTCTTGCGGAAGCTCAAACGTGCTGCGTAACACATGAGATTGAACCTCATTGGTTCTTGTGGAAGATCAAACGTGCTGTGTAACACATGAGAACAAACCTCATTGGTTCTTGCAGAAACTTAAACGTGCTGTGTAACACAAGATTGAACCTCATTGGTTCTTGTGGAAGCTCAAATGTGCTGTGTAACATGAGAATGAACCTCATTGGTTCTTGTGGAAGCTCAAACGTGCTGCGTAACACATGAGATTGAACCTCATTGGTTCTTGCGGAAGCTCAAACGTGCTGTGTAACACGTGAGAACAAACCTCATTGGTTCTTGCAGAAACTTAAACGTGCTGTGTAACACGAGATTGAACCTCATTGGTTCTTGCGGAAGCTCAAACGTGCTGTGTATCATGAGAACAAACCTCATTGGTTCTTGCGGAAGCTCAAACGTGCTGTGTAACACGAGATTGAACCTCATTGGCTCTTGCGGAAGCTCAAACGTGCTGCGTAACACATGAGATTGAACCTCATTGGTTCTTGTGGAAGCTCAAACGTGCTGTGTAACACGAGATTGAACCTCATTGGCTCTTGCGGAAGCTCAAACGTGCTGCGTAACACATGAGATTGAACCTCATTGGTTCTTGTGGAAGCTCAAATGTGCTGTGTAACATGAGAATGAACCTCATTGGTTCTTGTGGAAGCACAAACGTGCTGCGTAACACATGAGATTGAACCTCATTGGTTCTTGCGGAAGCTCAAACGTGCTGCGTAACACATGAGATTGAACCTCATTGGTTCTTGTGGAAGATCAAACGTGCTGTGTAACACATGAGAACAAACCTCATTGGTTCTTGCAGAAACTTAAACG